TGTTTTTTTTTTAATAGTTAAGAAAACTTACAAAGATTCATTCGTTAATTTTCTTTCTCTATCTGTCTCTCTCTTTTCCAGGAAATTTAATTTATCAGAAATGATAAGTTGCAAATTATCCTAAATTATCTGTCTGGTATTGTATTCTACGATATCTATGTTTTCGTTTTGTTTACTTTGCACTCTAATGATCTTATTTTTGTTACAAGTAAATGTTGTAGCAATAACCATAGACATATAAGATAGACCCAGCGTTCATATACTTTTCTGTAGTATATGCTGGGTTTTGCAGAACGATGCGAGAGACAAAATATCGGGGCAACCTATTCTTCTCTGCATTTTGACATTTATATTACGGAAAAAAATAATATAAAAGTAAGGGTAATATTCAAGAATTCCATCTTTCTCACCGATTTTGATGAAATTAAAGCAGAATATTTATTCCAGCCTTTAAACGCGTCGAATGAGCCTAATTCTTGAATATTACCAAAGTAAGTTTACTGTTAAGATGCCTCGATATTTTACTTGTCACACCGTTTTGCCAAACACAGGTATATATAGCTAATGTTGGGTCTATCTTATATGTCTATGACAGTAACAACTTTGCTGGCGCTTTATCTTTTGCATCTTTTTCATTCGTGCTCTTTGTAATTTATCGGACTTATCATAAGCCAATCTTGTACGCACGCAATAATGTCTGTATCATTGTTAGTCTCGAAACAAATAAGTGATTCCAAATAGTCAATAGTCAAATCGTTGTTTTTCTGACAAAACAAAGGATGCTTTGCAGCAAGATTTTTCAGCCAATGTGCCACAAAGTCTCCAAGGAGCTGCAAAATTTTACAGAATGTAAAAAAGGCAAAAAAAAATTAGAAAGAAGAAGCGAGTGAGACGCGAGATAAAAAATGTTTCTAAAAATTATATCAATTATATTATTTGCTCTCATTACAATCATTCCTAATCAACGATATCATCATTGCAACTAAGTAACAAAATCACTTTTATAACAATAAAATAAAAAATAAAATTTTTAGAAATTTACTTTTCATCTTATAAATAAATGTTTAGAATTTTGTTTTTATTTTAGTGTTAGCAGTATGTGGCCAGATATATGTTGAGCGCTGAAGTGTGTACACCTAATTAATGCACCTCGAGAGAAATTTGGTTCGTTATTCAATATACTGTAAATGGAGAAAGATCAAAAAACGCTACGTAAAATCTATTCTAAATTGCATAAGCGTACATACAAAAAAATATTTACTGTACGCAAGTAATTATTTGTTTCAAGTATTTAAAAAGTTCATATAGCCTCTAATCTGTAATAAATTTATCAAAAGCATCAAATTTATTTATAATATATTCTGAATCCTAGTAAGCTTAATACTTCAATCAAGATTATTAAATTAAAACAAATTTGATATGCTTATTATAAAGTCGCTTCTTCGAACAATTTTATAATATTCTTCTTAAAAATAAAAATTAATTCTTTAAAATACAATTTTTATAAAATTTATAATAAGTATATTTTAAAATTATTACCAAGAAAATATTCTTTATTGAAGATAACTTCAAGATTATTTAAAAGGAAGAAAATAAATTGAGTAATCACTTTTCTTATAGCGATATACAATAATATTTTTGTGTGTGTAGGGGAGACTGGGGTCAGTTGAATAATCGAGGCTACATTAAAAACAAAACACGCGAGACACGCGTAAACGTGTCTGAGTACGCAGCAGCGACTGTCGTTAAGTCTGCTGTAACATCTTGTTGCGAACACATCTATGATAGAAGTTATGCCACAATTTTAACAAATCGTACACCTAAGTAAATATTTGTATTCTTAAAGTTTTTGTTTTACAATCGTATATGATTGTCTGAGATATTTCTACTTAGATAGTAAGTGTAGTTCTTACTTAATAAAGTCCAACAGATTTTTTTTGTTTATGTGTCTTTGTTATCGTATATTGTTAATGTTTTTAAAAAATGAACGGATGTGGATAGTAGACTAACCACAGCATGGAACTGTATGACTCATTTAGTGACGACTTTTATAGTACTTACTCAAAATTTTATTCCTTTAAAGAGATTTTCCTCAGTGGTAAGTGTTATAAGTTTAGTTCCCTCATGTCCAATCTCGAAAACTAGACTTATTCGACATGTTTTTGCACGAAATGAACAAATTTTATAAAAACAAGTATTGTTTTGCTCTGCGAAGCGAATGTTTGTGTTAATATATTTAAGATATATTTAAAATATATCTTTATAAAAGTTTTATTAATGTGTAGCCAAAGATGTAGCTTAAAATACATTAATCTTTATTTTAATAATCTTAGTCGAATTACCCCGATCCCGGGGCAAGTTGAATCAGATGGAATGCATTAGAAAAATGCATTTTTTTCATATTAGTTATTAGTTTCCCCTTATTAAAATATTATTAGGTAGTCAAATGTATGTATTTAGTAACTGGTGTAGAATTCATTTTTTAATGAGTCTCTTAATTTCGTCTGTAAAAATTCGAAAATGAAAAATGAGTCTATTAACCCCAGTCTCCCCTAATTGTAGTTATAAGAATTGACCAACCGAATATAATTACTGTAATATTCTCCTTATATTCGACTGTGATTGATTAATTATTACAAGCAATTACAACGCTTACGCAATTATATAGAATGGATTTTACGGGCATCTCTTCTTCAGATTTCACAAACGGTGTCGAGGAAGTTCCGAACGTTACGTTCAGCTTCGTTTTGTTTTGTTTCTCGGCTCTACAATATCCTCTACGATTCTTAAGCGGAAACGCCGGCACAGTGAGAGGGGAGAGAGTCGTTTCCGTGACGTTGCTACACCTTGTTTCCTAAAGGCTGGTGTTCTGCACGCGGAACAACACCTGTATATGTCGTGTTGCGACCGGTTAGGGTTGAGTTAGAGTTACGTTACATTACGTTACGTTACGTTACATTATATTACTTCGGCCGAACCTTACGAAACATTACAGTCGCCCGAAGTCATATGGCCTGGGCGTCATATGTTTACGCGTTCCGATTTCTGTAGCGGATCGTTCCGCGGCCAGATGTCTCGTATGCGAATGTGACGAGATAATTCTATAAAGTCGACATTTGCCGTACTACAGAAATTTATACAGAAATTTATCCAATTATGGTATTAGTGGTATGAAAAATTAAATTAAATTATTATAATTTACATTAATTTTTTAAGGCATGCTAAGTTGTCGTGTTTTACTTGTACATGTACAAAGTCTGAAATCTTCTAATGTCTCTTTTTATATAAATGTCACGAATCGATCATAGAAACGATAATAAAACTATAATTTTCTAATTCTTTTACGTTTTAAAATTGTTGACTGTATTTTGTGTATATATTTTTATTCTGGAAAAGGATTTTTAAATCTGTAAAAATAATTACGAAATTGGCGAATCGAAAAATTAATCACATTTTATTGATAAAAGGATAAACTCCAGTATCCTAGTAGGTTGCACATCAACGTAAATAATAATATAATACACTCTAAAAAATATAGATATATTTAACATCATGAGTTTTAAACCATGATGTTAAATTCATACTCATATTTTTTATATACAATTATATTATATTATATATAGTACAAGATACGAAATAATTAAATGAGCTTTCGGCATGCACAAAAATAAGATAATCTGCATATTTTTCGAACTTTAAACATCGAAATAAAAAACGAAATGTTTAAAGGGGTTCAAAGATCCGTTTCGTTCAAAGATCAGCAAGATCTGTCTTGACACGAAGGGCCAAGGGACAAGATAGGTATACGTTGATCGCGATAGCAGGTTGGATCCGTTTGCTATCGAAGGATAAAGGTGTCGAGGACGATATGACCGAGAAACCAAGTGACCTGGCGATACACACGCGAACGCCGGAGAGTTAACGGCGTTTGTCCGCACCTCCGTGTACGCTCTCCTCGTTGCCCGAGTCACCGGCGTCCTCCACGAGCGAGGAACCGTTCCAGGACGGGGACCCGGTGTGCCAAGTGCGCGAGAATCCGGGTTGCAATCGCGGTCGCGACGGAAAAACCAGACGGCGACGTAGTCCGTCGTGCGAACACGACGAACCAGCTGGAAACTCCACCACTTGTCGAGACGGCAGATGGAAGTCCGAACCTGAACCTGTTTCATTTCTATCGGATAAATCTCGGCAATAAAAATCGGTAATAAAAACTTGAGAAATCAGTCCATCATATCTCTGTTTTATACGTTTCATAAATCAAAAGTTTGGAAATACTTTTAAATAGATGAAATTTTTGCACGAAAAAAAAAACGATTTTGCTGTTTTTTTTTTGTAAAAATTTAAGTAAATATATAATATAATAGATCTGAAAATAACATTATTAAAATAACTATGTAGGAAAAAAACTCAAGCATGAGCAATGCTGTAAAAAGTTTTAACATTTTTGCAACCTGCAGTTTAAATATCCTATGTAATTATTGTATAGTCCAATGAAATTATTTTCATATCTGTAGTTAAATTTTTAGGCACATTAGCAAAACTGTTGTTACATTGGATTATATTTATTCAAATATCCATAACAATGTTTTTTTAACAATAATTCTTCGAATCCAATAAGTTACATTAGGCCTAAAGAATTATTGTTAAGAAGAACATTTTTACACTTGAATAAGTAATTCCAACAAATGTCAATTTTTTAAGTTTCTAAATGTTTGGTCTGGAACGTATGTTTAATAGATAAATAAAATATAATTCCTAATAATCACACGAACACACACACGCACGCACACACAGAAAATGTTTGTCCTTGTTATTAAGAAAGAAAGAGGAGCAGACCGAATTTACCACCCAAGCCTTCCACACAAGCTGGTGATGTATTTTCACAGCGACGAAGATAAAAATCGTGCTGATAAGTATTCATTACGGCGCCGAAGTGCGCCGTAGGTCGACTTGATTAATATCCATCACATACGAGTGCAGGACACGAGAGTTCAACTTACCAACAATCCGGTTTCCACGCTTGGAAGCAACGTTAGTCGACTGTCGTTCTGTAGACCGTTTTCCGCGAGCGTTCCTTCGCGCAGCTGCCTGAAACAAGAAATATCGATAAGGATGATTAGCGTGTTTGTTTGAGATAAAAGTTAGATAATATCTTATTATTTAAAATGTACGCTAAAGCTGTTTAGCGTTCGTAGAATTATCGTAGAGGAAATATACTTATCTAAGAATCATTGATAATTATATTTCAATTATCACATAGATCGAATCTTTAACGATATGCTGGATAATAATGCATTAAAGGCAATAGATATAATTTCCTTTAATAGAAGCTATTGTTTTCTCTTTGGAAGTTTTTTGGAAAAATATTAAATTCAATCCATCAATCAATCTATAATTTGAGATGTTAATATTTCAACTTCAGTTTATGCTTGCGTTTCAAGTCTGCAGTTTATGAAACTGAAAAATATATTTGCAAATACATATTTGTATGTGAATATTATTAAGTTTCGACCAAAAATACACCTAGAGAAAAATTTCTTCGATTCAAAGAAATGTTTCTTTGCTGTACGGTTAAAGAAAAAAATTTCTTTGAATATTTAAACATGATTTAAACATTTTTTTAATTGAAGAAACCTTTCTCTAGGTGTAGAATTATTTCTTTTGATTTATTATTGATCTGATTTCTACTTAGAAATACTAGTTTCCGATTCTTCGAAACATGTAAATTGAAGCTGTCTATATATTAATAAAATTTCCATGTATATAATAACATTATTCATAATTAATTGCTAGTGATCAGAGTTTGCTTTTACGCAAGTTGTTCAAAGCCAGTTTTAAAAGGCGCCGTAGAATTTATTTAAGAAACTGGTTTCATTATACTGATTGCAATATAACGAAAGCATTCGTTCCGTAAAATCGTTACGGTTCTCTCACGAAAGAGTTTCTCGTCGCAACTGTGAACCATTCTTAGAAGAAAGGCCCGAAACTCACAATATATCGCACGATAGAGCCAAAAAGATCGGCGCCAGTTGGAAATATCTCATTCGAGCGAGTGTTAAACGAGAGCTGTCGCAGTTTGGCACTTCGAAAAGTGACATGATGGAAGAAAGCGATACGATGGACGGGGATGAAGGCATGAAGAGGTGGAGAGAAGGGAGTCGTGTGGCAGTCGATGAAAAATACTTATATGCAACAGTCGACAGAATTGGGTCGCGATTGCTTTGCCTCGCCTCGGCATAACATCCCGATCTATATATCGGTTTTCCCTTGGCTTTCTAAATAAATCACGACGGACACGAAGTCATTCTTTCGTTTTGAAGCCTCTTGAAGTGCGATCGCTGGTGCGAAAAACACGCGATTTATACCGATTTAATAGGTTGGCGTCTTGCAGGAGAGAGTCCTGAGTCTATATTCTTCAATTTATATCGCATACGAAAATCTATAGATAATATATGTAATGTATATACCGCTAAATTCATAATGTCCCCAATTATACCCAATTTGAGTTATTTTTAATCACTATCAATTCAGTATGTCATTAATTTAATTAAAACTATAAAGTTAAATAATTGAAAAAGTGTATTTATTAATATTGTACTTACTAAGTTTAATAAGTTCATCGTTTCGTAAGTTTACTAACTTTATCATTTACTAAGTGCATACGTTAATATGAATGTTGTTTATATTGAAATTAACAGAAATAAATTTACATTTTGACACACATAGAAGATAAAATAATTCTTGCATACTTATAAAAACTTTAACGAGTTTTTACTAGCATAGAAGACGGATTATATTTTATTTATTTTTTTCTAAATTTAACTCTGAAATATTGAATTTTCATGCACTTTTTTTTAGCAAAATGTTATTTAATCTAATGAATTAAATTATTTGTTCCTACATGCATACGCTGTTCCTTTGATATCTCAAAATGTACTGTAATATTTTCATATGCGATATTTTTCATGAATAATGTCCACGGGGCCTTTGTCCGCTTCACATGATTGTATCAACTCTAATCTTCCGTCGGCCAAGTTGGACTTTGAAAGCATAATGAATATTGTGAATAGGTTTTAATAAATTTGATCCTATACTGCTACTCATATTTTTCTTACATTAACTCTGGGTGAAAATAAATAAGAATTTTTTTTATATTTTTTAAATGTCTACTTTATATTAGGTGTTGGAATTAATTCGTAGCGTTTTACAAGTGATGGGAAGTACTTTCATTAATGTATTTTTTAATGCTCATGTGAAATAAATAACATTCTTTCATTAAAAAACGCTACGAATTAATTCCAACACCTAATAGATAGCAAAAGGTGTTAGAATAACTGTATTAATATTATATTTTAATATAAAACATAACTTCTAACATTAAATAATCTTATTAAATGTTTAATTTTAACCAAACTTCAAATTTTAAGCTATTAAAAATTTAATACGAAAAGCTATAGATATTAAACTCAAAAAGTGGATGATGAAAATTCATTCACAGCAGCATTCCAGAGTTAAATTAAATCTATACAGAAAATAAGTAAAATAGAATTCGATTTCTATAATAGTAAAAACTACAATAAAAGCTCAGTTAAAGAGCTTTTGTAAGAATTTTTTCACATTTTTATATAGTCCGTAACAATATAAAAGTCTGTATTGAAGGTTAAAAACCCAAGTTGCTAACAAGATTCTACACTAATAGAAGAAGACTGAAATGGTATATAATTAGAAAAAATCATAAGATATAGAAAATATCAAGGCAATGATGATGAAAAAAAAGAAAAAAGGGAGAAAACAAAGAAGAATGAAAAATAATAAAAGTGATGACAGAAGTTAGCACGAGTAAAAATAATTAGGTTTATTTAAATTTATTACATTTAAAAATGATTGTTGAAAAGAAGTAAAAATTAAAACTAATTTTTCACTAATGTACAATGTATGGGAAGTTTCGACTTGGCTTACAATTAATCATCTTCAGCCACTAAATTACGAGAGAATGAACTAAGAGATTAAAAACATAATAAAATATGAAAGGATTATAATCAGTAAAACGTTGGAAAGATTCACAAAACGATTATATTTAAAGGGAAAGTTATTATTAGGACGTATTATTAGACCAGCATGTAAAATAATACTGCACTTTTTACCGTATTTCTTTGAATAGATCTAAGTAAATATCAACTTACAGTAAATAAACGTTTAGTCAATAAAAAAATGATAATTAAATCGGTTTAATGGTTTTTGTATCGAAAAGTACCTATATATTTAATTTATTTATATAGAACTAGTCACAAATAAATATTTATTAAATTTTGCATTTTTTTTTCAATGTGTTATGTCAAGGAAAGAAGAGCGTTCCGCCGAACTTTGCGTTTTGTATTTCTGACAAAGTCCACCGCGACCTGGTTCGCACGCACGTCGCTATCGCGAGGCTGCTGATGCAACCACTACCGCGGAACGGAAATCGACCGAAATAAACACGCGTGCGTGTAAACACGCGTGATAAAAAGCCGCGCTCGAGCAACGAGCGGAAGCACAGAGTCCCGAGTGCTATCATTTTTTTTTTTTTCCCCTAAGGAAGGGAGACAGCAAAATAGGCTAACTATTACGGAACGCAGAAAATGGGGCAATGTTATAAAATTGATTCTTATCTCTAACATTATCCTTTGTGCGGTCAGATTGAAACGGAACTTTCTCATCCCATTTTGATCTGCGTATCTGTACATTGTTTAATTTTAACGCTGCAAGATATAATTAAGGCAAACATAATAATCTATTGTATGCATCACGTCTAATTTAACATAAATAAAGGCTAACTATAAATAACCTATTTTTTTGTCTATTTCAGACCTATATCACTTCTGTTCCTTTTACGCTAAGATTTTTTTTGTTCTTATAAAAAGAAAATTACGCAGTGATGCGGCTAAAAATATCTCATTATCGACCAGTTAGCCGTTAAAACGATTTGACTAACTCCAACTCACTTCGGTCGGTATTCGTAGTCGATTTTTATATTTAAGATCGTCTTAAGTACAATCTTAAGATGTCACGAATGTCAATCACGGAACAATATTAACATTTTAAAATATTACTTGAGATGATTTTGAAATAAGAACGGATTATGAATAGCCTTCAATTCATCGTTTTCGGTGTGTCTGAAATTTCATCAAGCGCGGGATTGCAGCGATTATGATATACGATGATAGCTTCCGGTATCGGCCGACACCATGAACGATTATAACGCGATAATGTACGTAAGCGCGCACGCAACAAGACAATAACGCGAGTCATGATACAAATCCACGGCCTCGGCTTGACGGTGCCGCGATAACGCGATCGTGATTGTGCTTGGACTTGTGGCACGTAAAAAAAAAGAAAGAGAAAAAAAAAAGAAAAAAAAAACGATAAGAAAACACCGACCTAGAAGATTAGACCGCACAACTCCCGGTAACGTCGCCGGATATCGCGAACCCCGTTTCCATTGGCGACCGTCGCTCGTTGGACCGATCGAAGAAACGAGACCTTGCCGTATATAAATAAGGCAATGTTACTCCGATTTACGCTTGATTCTAATCAGCGTGAGCGCTATTAAAATTATCTCTGTCGAGCTAGCAAGACCAAATGAGCAGAATCGAGAGACCTTTTGAACTATTTAGTGCTCATTATGTGCCAATTTGTGCTACAAAGAATAATTTTGCACCACCATGTTATTTAGAAGAAATGTAAAAATTGTTTTTTTTTTTTTTTTTTAGCTATGATTAATCACTAAACTAATGGTTTTATAGAGAATAACTTTTAAAGTTACCACACACTACAAAACTGTTAGTTTGATAATTAATCACAGCTAGAAAAATACAATTTTTACATTATTATAAAGTTACGAGATTAAGTCTAAACCACAAGTTAACCAAATAATGAAAAATTGGCTCTAAGTGTAGCAACTCTTAAGCCTTAAGAAACTGACTAATCATAGGCGGTTATTCTTCTCATATTCAACTATGATTCATCAATTTATTAAGGTTCAAGGCACATTTATGGTGCTTTAGGATCCAATTAGTTTTGAGTCACTTTCGCGATCTCTCTCCACCTTC